CCCCTTCCCCGGCCCGCCTCCCGCTCCCTTTCCGCCGCGTGGTTCCGCGGCTCCGTGCCCCGCCGCCCTCCGGTCCGGACCTGCAGCAGCTCCTGCGCGTTGGCCACGGCGATCTGCACCTTCACCTGCTCCATGATGAGCCCCGGGTCCAGCTTGCCCCCCCCGCCGGCACCGGAGCCGAAATCGGAACCGAAGTCGGAGCCGAAGCCGCTCTCCATGGCTCACAGTCCCGGCGGGGCGGCAGCGCAATGACCGCCGACGAACTACGGCTCCCGGCGCGCCCCGCGCGGCCCCGCACGGAACGACGGCTGCGGCGCGGCCCCGCCCGTCAGACCCACAGCCGTGCGCGGCCCCGCGGCGGGAGCGCGGCGCTGAGCCGGGGCGGAACCGCGCCGTGCTCGGCCCCGGCATCCCCGAGTGCTGCGGAGCAGCGCACAGAGCGGTGCTGCACGGCTAAGCGACACCCAGCTGGTGCTTCGTGCTCGGATTTCACATCCGTTGCTTCGGAAGTTGTATGGCACAACAAGCAATGGAACTTTGCCAAACTGGGGGAAAACAGCTCGAGGTTGGGCAGAAGTCACCGTGATGGAGCAGATAATAGAAAGATGGGGAGAATGAAAGTGGTCATGCAACCACCTTATATGCAGCTGCACAGTGCCCAGAGAGATAGTAGCATATATTAATGAGTACTTGGAAAAGAATGAATATGTATGCCAGTGTATGGATGTCTTAAATCTTTAAATGTAGAACTTTGAACCTCCCCTGTCTCAGTTTAGACCATTTCCCCTTCTCCTATCACTATCCACCCTTGTAAACAGCCATTCCCTGTCCTGTTTATATGCTCCCTTCAAGTACTGGAAGGCCACAGTGAAGTCTCCCTGGAGCCTTCTCTTCTCCAAGCTAAACAATCCCAGTTCTCTCAACCTTCAGGGTCCTGGCAGACACAGGGAGGTGCCTGATCACTGAGGCAAAACACCTATTGAGCACCACAGCTTTTCCCGTGTCTGAGGAAGCCAGTTCTCCGTCCTCATTTAGCAGAGGGGTAACACCCTCCTTGATCTGTCACCTCCTGCTTATCTACCTGTAGAACCCCTTGTTATTTTTCACATCCCATCCCAAGTTCAGCTCTATCTGTGCCTTGGCTTTCCTGATCATCTTTATAGACAATGTCCCGATATTCTTCCTAGGCTACACAACCCTGCTTCCCCTTCCTGTACATCTCTCTTTTTCCTCAATTTAAGCTACAGGTTCATGCTTAGCCATGCTGGTGCCTGCCTCCTCTGCTCAATTTCTTCTGCTTTGGAAGATGGAGAACTGGGTCTTTTTGGCCTGCAGAAGAGAAAGCTCTGAGGAGAGCTTATAGTGGCCTTCCAGGACCTGAACAGGGCGCACAGGAATATAGAATCATAGAACTGCTCAGGTTGGAAAAGACCTTCAAGATAATCGAATGCAACCTCAGCCTAACCACACTACCCTAACCCTTAACAATTCACCACTAAATCATGTCCCTGAGCACCACATCCAGACAGTTCTTAAACACATCCAGGCACAGTGACTCATCCACGCCTCCCTGGGAAGCCCATTCCAGTGCTTAACAATGCTTTCTATAAGGAAGTTCTTCCTGATACCCAACCTAAACTTCCCCTGGCACAACCTGAGGCCATTTCCCCTTGTCCTGTCACCAGTGAGAAGAGACCAGCCTGGCTCTCACTGCGATCACATTTCAGGTGTTTGAAGAGAGCAATAAGGTCTCCCCTCAGCCTCCTTTTCCCAGACTAAACAGCCCCAGTTCCTTCAATCTCTCCTCGTAGGCCATATTCTGCAAGCCCTTCCCCAGCCTTGTTGCCCTTCTTTGGACCTGCTCCAGCAC